AGCTGTATATATTGTCTCCAAGTCCTCTCCTCCCGCTTCCCTCCTGAACTCACTCCAATAAGGTTGTCACTTCCACCACTCCACCAAAACTCCTCTCTAATCAAAATCTCCAGTGATCTCCTTATTACCTTGTGCAATGGTGAATCCAAGTCCTCGGCTCACCTGACATCCTAGTCACTCCTTGAAATACTTTCTTCACTTGACTTCAAGGACAAACTCTCAGGATTTCCTCTTTTTTCCTCTGGCTCTCTTCTGAGTCTCTTTTGTGGATTTCTCCTAATTGTTCCTACTTATAAGTTAAAGTACCTCAGGGCTCAGTTCTTGGACCCATACTTTTCTAAATAGATCACTCCTTTGAAATGTCATCTAGTCTCCCACCATCTATATGCTTAAGACCTCTAAATTTCATCTCCAGCCCCTATCTCTCCCCTGAATTCCAGCCCTATATATCTACCTCCTACTGTACATATTAATATAGGGACATCCATTAGGCATTCACACTTAAACACGTCCAAAACCAAGTTCCAAATATTCCCTTCCAAACTTGCTTCTCTCACAGTTTTCCATGTCTTAATAAAAAACCCACAACTCCATTCCTCCAGTTACTCACCTTAAAAACTCTGGGAGTCACTCTTGTGTCTTTGCTTCTCTTGTCTGACACTGATACACACACACACACACAAGTTAAACTTTCAAAATATATATAGAAACCAACACCGAACTCTCCCAATCATTCACTCCATGCCACCCCTCCCATTCACTTGACTCTAGCCACACGTCTCCTCCTTGCTCTTCTTCAAACATATGGAGGCCCTGAGGCAGAAACAAGTCTAGACCATGCTGTTCCCCTCTGCTCAGAATGTCCTTCGTCCAGATAGCTGCATGGCATACACTGTTTCTTCAAGTTTCTATTCAAATCTCATCCACTCAACTGCTAGCTCTCTGTATCAAGCAACCATCATCTCTCGCCTGAATCTCACAATAACCTTACATGATCTTTATATTTCCTCCCTTGCCCCCCATAGCTATTCCCCAGACAGGAGCCAGAGTGATTTGTTTAAAAGTCAGATTATATCACTCTCCTGCTGAAAACCCTCCAGTGGCTTCCCATCACACTCAGAGGAGAAGCTCAAGTCTTTATAATGAATTACAAGGCTCTATGTGATCTGTACCTATTCCTCCACTGTTTCTTTGACCTCATTAGTTTCTATATTCTACTCTCTAACCACATTTACCTCCCTGCTATACTTCAAACATGCAGAGACCCTGGGGTGAAAACAAGTCTAACATACGCTATTCCTTTCTACTTGGAATGCCCTTCACCTAGATATCAGCACAGCTCACACTTCCCCCTTCAAGTTTCTACTCGAATATCATCTTTTCAGTAAAAGCCTTCTCGGGTCACCCAAGTTAAAACTACAACATCACATAAACTTCCTAACCATCTTGGCTGCCTTATTTTTCTATTTAGTACTTATCACTAACATACTACATATGTTACTTATCTTGTTTACTGTCTGTTCTTCCCTACAAGAATATAAGCTTCTTGAGGGTATTTTGTCTGTTTTGTTCACTAATAAATTGCCAGAGCCTAGAGGAGAGCCTAGTACATAAGAGGCACTAAGTAAATATTTATTGAATGAATGTATGAATGTTTAAAATAATGAACATGATTTTCAAAAAGATTCCTGGTGATTCTAGCATACAGCCAAAGTTAGGAACCACTGCTCTAAAGACTGGGATTCCTGGGCCTTCTTATCAGCCTCTTTTTCCCCCCAGGTGACATTATCTATTCCTGTGGATATTTATACTGATAATACCCAAATTTATATCTCCTAACTAGACTGCTCCAGATTATTCAACTAGCCACTGGACTTTCCATTTGTAGGTCTCACCTTAAGGAATATATAAGTAACACCTAATTCGATTTCACCATACCCCATTCTCCTCATCTTCATAAGTGGAACCACCAATTGGCCAATTTCTCAAGGCAAGAAACATAGTCCCATCCTAAATTCTCTCTTTACTCTTCATATCCTACATTCCATACATCAGAAAGTCTTATCAATTCTATCACCAAAATATAAGTTGAATGCATTTATTTCTCTACATCTCCACTACTACCACCTGTTGCTTATAGTTGTTCCCACTTATTGGTCTCCTTGTTCCTACTTTACCTTGATTCAACACATTTTCCATACAGCAGAAATACTGATTTTAAAATATAAATAAAATGGTCTTACTTAAAATGCTCCAATAGTTTCTCTTCACAAAATCCAACTTCTTGGCACTAACAGCAAGATCTACAGTCTACCTGTGTATTTTCTAATAAAGCAAATTCATATCAAAGAAAACAAAAAAAAAAGCTTTTGGTAATCTTTCCAAAAAAATACTTTTGAAAAAAACTACTATAGAAAAAGAATGCTTTAAAACCAACTTATTATATATACTTCTACTGGAAGACAGCATGGTACAGCTGAAAGGCTACTGAATTAGGAATTAGATCTGATTATGAATGAGTCTGGGCTATGAAACTACATAGATGACTAAAGACAATTTACTAACCTTTTCTGGGCTTCAATTTTGTTATCTGCTAAAAATGAAAAAAAAAATGGACTGAAGTATGGCTCAATTCAAATTATATTATGGTGATTTACAACATCTACATTTTTCCTCCAAATTCCTGGCAAAGTGAGAATAGGACACAAGACAGATTGAGAATATCAGAGCCATTATCACTGCTGCCTGATAAAAAAGGGAAGATGATATGGCATGTGGAAAGAAAAGGCTTGAGGGATGCCAGGCTGGCTCAGTCAGGCGGAGCATGCAATTTTTGATCTCCGGGTCATGAGTTCGAGCCCCACGTTGGGTGTAGAGATTACTTAAATGAATAAATAAAACTTAAAAAAAAGAAAAGGCTTAAAATACTGAATTACTTAATCTGTAAGATCCCTTCCAGCTCAAATATTTTATGTCCAAGCAGGAAAAAACAGTCCATTACCATTTTCCCTACTGAAAATGAAAACAGCAGGAGACTTCCAACTGGAAACCTCACTTAACCACATGCCTCAAGATTCCCAACGTTTTGCTTTAACCTGAGGAAAGACACAGTTTATTCTCGTATAATTTATTTTTCAGAAAAAAAAAAAAGTTCTTTTACAGTCAAAAGTACTGGGGCACCTGGAAGGCTCAGTCAGAGGACCATCCAACTCTTGATCTTAAGATTATGAGTTCAAGCCTTACACTGGGTATAGAGATTACTTACATGAATAAATAAAAACTTTATAATCAAAAGTACTATCACCAAAAAGATCGCATTGGGAGGGAAAAAAACAAGACAACATCGGAGAGGGAGACAAACCATCAGAGACTCTTATTAATCACAGGAAACAAACTGAGGGTTGCTGGAGGGGAGGGGGTCCGGGGGATGGGGTAACTGGCTGATGGGCATTAAGGAGGGCAAGAGCACTGGGTGTTATATAAGACTGATGAATCACTGAACTCTACCTCTGAAACTAATATACTGTATGTTAATTAACTGAATTGAAATTAAAAAAAACTCATCATTTGTCTTTATGTCTACAAATGCTACCAAATTGGGGCGCCTGGGTGACTCAGTGGGTTAAGCAGCTGACTCTCTGATTTTGGCTCAGGTCATGATCTCAGGGTCCTGGGATCAAGCCCCACAATGGCCCTGAGCTCAGCAGGGAGTCTGCTTCAGGATTCTCTCTCTCTCCCTCCTGCCCCTCCCCTCACTTGCTCACGCTCTCTCTAAAATAATCTTTTAAAAGGGGGAGGGGCACCTGGGTGGCTCAGTCGGTTAAGTGTCTGCCTTCAGCTCAGGTCCTGATCCCAGGGTCCTGGGATGGAGCCCCTCACTGGGCTCCCTGCTCAGTGGGGAGTCTGCTTCTCCCTATCCCTCTGCCTCCTCCCCACCCCCCCACTTGTGCTCTTTCTCTCAAATAAATAAAATCTTTTAAAAAAGAAAAAAAAAAAAGCTACCAAACTGGTTATGTTGCACTTTCCAACTATAATTTAAGAGATTTTCTTCTTCCATGGGAAGGTAGTATTAACCATGGTGGTAAAAACATCCCCCATCTTTATTTATGAAGCTATAAATAAATCCAAAAGCAATTATCAGAATTTTAAAAATAAGTTCCACTACTATCCAAAGCTACCCTAAAATTATATAGAGGCTAGCTAACAAGATAGTTAAGAGTATTAAAACTGGGTACTGCCCTTAACCATGTAATCTTGGACAAGTCACTTATGCTTTCAATGGTTCAGTTTTCTTTTGTAAAATGGAGATTATCAACAAAAACTTAGACATGTACAGCAGTAAATACGCATTCTCTCAGTAACTTATACCAACCTGGCCTTTATCATAAGAGCTAGATAACCCAGTACTCACTCTTTGGAAATAAGTCTAATTCTTTTAATGTAAAATTTTGTCAAGCATCTCTTTTTTATGAAATAGTTATTCCTAGATAATAGTTATTCAATTCTCAAACACTGACAAAAATTTATTATCTGAAGTCATTTATTAAAAAAATGAAATGTATGCATATTTAGAGACGGTCTGGAGGGATATAAACCAACGTCTATTAACTATAGTTATCTCTGGATGAAAGAAACAAAACTAAACTTTATTTTCTTCTTTTTGCTGATCTACAGTTCCTAATTTTTCTATTAATAAACACAAATTTTTTGTAATAGGGAGACAATAATTTTTTAATGAAATTAATTCCATAAGCAAATAAACCTTTTTTAAATTCACATTTTGGAAACTGGAAATGAAATATATCTGTACTTATATTGACTGACCTCATATTCCTATTGGAAAAGGAACAACCAAGAACATCAAACACACATTCTAATGTACTCTCCAATTCTGATTGCTCTTTTGAGCCCTATCTCTGCATATATCTTCACTTCTTAAATCTTATCAAGACTTCATTGTAGACCCCTCTCACGCATTTCCAAAATTAGGAAAAAATTACCAATAAGACTTCTATAATCTCTTAACCTCGAATTTCTCTTCTCTTGTTCTTCGCTGACAGATTTCCACTGTAGTTTCATCCTGAAGTATTCGTCACTACAGAAAACAATTTTATACCAAAAAAAGCTATGAACACGGTATTTTTAAAAATTCTGATTGGGTTTTCCTATTAACAATGTATCAAAGCATTTATGATGCCAGTGAAATGTGAGGTTATAAATGATAGTGAAATGTTTAAAGTTACGATTCATAAGTGAAAATAAAGGAAAAATTAAATAACCTTATACATACCATAAACTTTGCTTAAACGAGTAATTTAGGTATGATTTTAAGAAAACATTCACCTCAATCCTTAATATACCTAAAATTATTCTAGTTATTAAATATTTTAACTACTAAAGTTTCTGAATAATTATAAATACAAATCTACAAATTGCTGTTTTTTTTTTTTAATGTGACATAAGACTTCCATTTTCTAGCCAGTTTTTTCACAAACTTGTTAATGTGAAATGTCTTAGAAGAACTGGCAATTGGGGCACCTGGGTGGCTCAGTCAGTTAAGCGTCTGCCTTAGGCTCAGGTCATGTTCCCAGGGTCCTGGGATCGAGCCCCGCATCGGGCTCCCTGCTCAGCGGGGAGTCTCCTTCTCCTTCTGCCTCTACCCTCTGGCTTGTGCTCTCTCTCTCGCTCACTCTCTTTCTCTCAAATAATAAAATAAAATAAAAAAGAACTGGCAAATGTGTTGAAAGAGAAAGGACTGTCTGAAAGTTTAAATATGCACATAATGATTCAGACTGAACTTTAAATCATAGGCTAGACTGATGAACTGGGAATAAGAAGGGTACCTGGAAAGTTGGTCTAAGTTTTCTTTTCAAGTCTGAGAAATTACTTAAAAATAGAACCAGTCTTCCAAAAAAAAAATGAAAGACTAGTTTATGTTACAAGAGCACCAGGAAAATAATTTAAAGGTAATTAACTTAAATAGTAAATATACTTCTTATGGGACATTTTTATAATTTCTAATTACAAAAATGAATAAATATGAAAGATATATTTAAAAATCCCTATCTAATTAGTTATTTTTCAAGTATGCAAAATGTTTTTACAAGGGAAGTGGAATTTTTTTTTTTTTAAAGATTTTATTTATTTATTTGAGAGAGAGAGAGAATGAGAGATAGAGAGTACGAGAGGGAAGAAGGTCAGAGGGAGAGGCAGACTCCCTGCCGAGCAGGGAGCCCGATGCGGGACTCGATCCCGGGACTCCAGGATCATGACCTGAGCCGAAGGCAGTCGCTTAACCAACTGAGCCACCCAGGCGCCCTAGGGAAGTGGAATTTTTTTTTCCATCTTTCTATATATTCACCAACACAACTGCAGTGGGTGTTTGAAATGACTAGTTTGAATAAGTACAGAGCTCATGATTTTTCAATTAAAAAGATAAAAATAAAATTATTTTCCCATACTCTCATCTATTTAAAATAATCATCTAGAAGCTCTATACTAATCTGTATGGGTGAGTTATCTGAATTTCTTTAATGAACACACAAAAGATCTTACTTACGTTTTTTGTTTTTGTAATTGAGTTCTTTCCTCCTTGGTACTGTCCCAAGGAAAATAACCCAAAAGAAATTTCCATGCTTGCTTTCTCAACACATGACTAAGTCCCTAAAGAAAATATGCATATTAAACACATTTGTAAAAAAGAATGCAATACTTTAAGTTCATAAAACTTGCATATAAATATACAGGGAAACTAATATTTAAGAGATAGTTTTATACATAAAATAGCTCAATTCAGTGAATACTAACTTGTTTTTTTACCTCTAGACTCTGAAAATGCCAGAAAGCTTAAACAATGCAGAGTATACAGATTATATAGAAGGCAGCAGGACTGATTAGTCTAAGTCCAATCCTTAATAGATAAGGCAACTACCACTGGGGTACATACATGCCTCCTTCACATTACCCACAGAACTTTAGGTAAGGAAGACTATTCTTCCCTAGGCTTAATGGTATTCAGTCCCCACCTCCCCAACCAACCTAAAGGGACATCACAAGGATCTCACACTGTCCTACAGGGATTTTAAGGCATCATTCATTAAAAAGGAGTACATTCCATGACTACCTCCACACCTCCCACAAAAAAAGAAAATTTAAATATCAGCAGTTTCAAATATCCTCCATATTAAGGTATTTACCCCTCTAAATATCATCTGCTTCATATTATCTACATTTAAAATTCTTCCTTCAGAATCAATGTTCTTAGTCCATTCTTCCAGTGATACTGGCTCTCTCCTTTGAACAATAGGTCGTTCTCCCAAATCAATCTAAAAGAAGATAAGCAATAAGGAGTACACTTTTACCCAGTGAAATTAAATCAAGGTACATGGAAACCATAACTAAAATACTATTTATTACTCAGGCATGAGTTCTAACATTTCTAATATCTTCCCTTATTTTCCAATGTTTATTTTATGAACTTTAATAGCATTCCATACATTTTTCTTCCTACTAAACATAAAAATAACAGGGTTACAAATTCAGAGACAGGAATACATTTGCTATTTTGAGTTTCAATTACGTAAGTACAAAACATTCGACATGTAAATTCCATAAAAGACCCTTCAAATTAAATGGTATGCTGTATTTAAAAAGACAGTATTACTCCACTAATCATATTCTAAAATTAGCTTTTCTTCCAAACTACAATTTGTAGCTCTCAGAATTGATTCATGATCCACTAGCTCCACTTGGTATTTTCTACAGTTTTTTATTCAATTAACAGATGTTGGTAATTTAAAATGCCATTTGTAAGATAAACCCTTTAAATATTACAATTCAGATATTTATAATGTTCTAACTAAGTACAGCCTAGAACTGCAGCAAATTCAAAAGTCTTGCTGAGCACATATAAAGATTTGCCATAATTCAGGGCTAAGATCCATCTTACTTAAAAAAGAAAAGACTCACATGAGTATAAAAGCCCTAGAGCAGTGTCCTGACTAGCTGCCTCTGGTCCCTACTGAGAAAACATATAAATTAGGAACAGAACTAAGAACAATATGTAAGGTTCACTATTTACTCACTGCTATGCCCTCAATGAAACAAACAACCCGCTCATTATTATCAGAAAGTAATCAAAGAAAAGAGATCCAACTTATTAAACAGAATGTATAAGTAGTAATCGATGAAGAACAACCCAAGAATTTGGTGGCAGAACAAGTATTAGTTGTTAGATGTATTAGTTAGTAAAAAAGTTATAAGGATTATAAGAGGCAGATATAACCAAAATTGAGTTTCTATTTCTATAGCATTCAGTACATGTTTAAAAAGCATTTCTCCTGTTAAAATATAAAAGACATATTAATATAAATCTTCACTCACTCTTGTGATGACTTCAAATCCTGGTTCTTCTTGTTGATTTATCTTTAAACCTGGAATAGCATCACTAAGAAAATCTGCCATTTCTGAAGGCGGTCGTTGATGTGTAGAGGTATCACTGCCTCTCAAACTATCAAAAATGTAGTTTGTGACTTTGGAAAATCCTACCATGGTTGCTGTATAAGGATCCTTTTTAATTTTCTATGTAGTAAGAAGAAAAATATTAGCATTATTAATTCAAATGAAGAATAAAAATACCTTATGATGGGCAAAAGGGCCACGTTTTTTAAAGGGGGGAAATCAGAACTAAAACAGAGTGTTCTAAGATTATTTTAAAATTTTATTTTTTTTCTGGGCAGAAAAATTTATATTTTCTAAGCCAATCTTTTCATTTGGTTAAAACAGAATATTACACAGCAAGGTAATGCTACTGATTGAACTGCAGATAAACAAATGATTTGCAGGCTTTATTCAATCTGCATACATCACAAATATATGCAGTGCTTACTTTCCATTGATGAATGGCCCACAACAGCTTTCTTCTGTCTAGCAGTCCTGCCTTTATGAAAAAAATATTTCTTGAAGTGTTCAGAACCACACTAGTCTAACAGAAAATATTCGAAGGTTAAGCTTTAAAGCTCACAATATTTAAATATTAGCTGACATTTTAATCTAATTATATGATTAATAAATCATGCCAATGAATGTAATTTGTTCTGGATGGTGCTACCCTGGAAAAAGGTTTTTCTATTGCTAGGGTTACTTCTAAATCCCCAACTGCCTACTTTTTCATATTTAGCAAAAACAGTTACTTTTTAAAGGTCTTTTAATGATTATTTTCACAATAAAAACTGCTGCCTAATTTTTTACTTTAATCAGTATCTAGCTATCTTGTCCTGCTTCCTAAAAGTTCCCCTTTTATCTTGTTATCTTCAGAACCAAGAAGAGGATACTTGGAACAGAGTAAGCACCCAAACATTTGTTGAGTGAATAAGTGAATCAATAAACAACCATTTCGTTACTTTACATAAACATTTGAGTGAAAAATAAGTTAACTTAATTTCTGCCTGTGTTAAGTGCATATTTTTAGCCAAATGTAAGAATATACTCAAATACTTTAGGGGGAATTAGATTATCACGCCCCAAATGAACCTACTTAAAATGGAAAATAAAAATTCAAACCATATTTTTGACTAAGTTTATCATTAATGAATTCAAAGTGGCTTACCCAGTGACCTTGCAACTAATCAGTAAAAGCTATGATAAAAATCTACTAATGTCCAATTTCAGTATTACAATAAAGGGAAACATTGCTTTAAGAATAAGAACCAAGGAAGCTTCTGAGTCTTACAAATAATATGAAACATATTATTTCTAAAAAATTAGAGAATTACAGTCCCATAAACTTTACAGACACTTGCCTTGTTCTGTATAATCTCTGAGAAAGTGAGAGAGGTAGGAGGTGTATGAAATAATGGTGTCAGATTAACAGATAAATACAAAATGGACTAAGAAACATACTTGTATTAGACCATACGCAGGTTCATCAAGAAGATTTTCAAAAGACTGTGAAAGACTCTTATTCTGACAATTCACAAGAAGTGTTCTTTTATCCTGTGGAGATCTGTAATAAAAGAAAGGATCCGTAGAAAATAACTAGCACACTGCATCAATTATTACCTGAACAATTACTAATGCCTACTTTTCCTTATCAACAATAACAACGAAAATCCCAAAACTCAAATGTCCAGTTCTAGAACTGTTTCCCATTAATACAATATTAGCAAGTACTTAGTAACTATCTTAAAGGAGCTCCAAAACTACATGAAACATGAAATACTAAATTGACAAATATAAAAGGGTTGAAGTATATTTTTATTCTAGGTAAAGCCAAGAGGACTAACTTGTAATTAATCAAGTTTTTGTTTATAATTATAGTAGAAAAAACTTACAAATGTATCTGTCTTTATTATCATAAAAATTAAAGAAAGTTAAAGCACACTTTGGATTCATCAGTATATATAAAATGTACAATACATGAAAATGTCCTATTTTGAAAGAGTTTCCAACTTCATTCCATAGCTTGGTAGTATTGCAATATAAGATATTAAAAACACAAGATAAAATAGATTATTTGTTAAAGATAATTATGCTAACCATAATTATAAACACACATACATGAACATATTTAACAAGGTTATAATATACCATTAAGGTAAGAGTATGTTTTTAGTTCTTGCTTATTAAGCTCTAGAAGCAAGTTTTTCTTCACATTTCTTAATAACTGCAGAATAAATGCTTTCCAAATAGACATTTAATTTCAAGTAATCAGATGAATTATCTAGTCTCTTTTCTATTCAATAAATTCTATAACTTAGTAAGTTCGCTATAATAAATCCACAACTTTTCTGTGTTTAAAACTTAAATGTGTTATGTTGTGGCTATCTACTTCTAGTTTATTATAAATGTTTGAGATAAGAACTTTAATAACAGTTATCTCTTCTCAATTCTAACATAACAGGATGCAACAGCAATGCTGGAGGGGATATGAACTCCAAAGCAGGATCTTATTTTTACACATTCAGAAACAACGCTTGATCTTCAGAGACAACAGTAACTTAATAAGCCCCTTGGCTTTTTAAAAGGAGATGAGGTTGAGTCATTTGAGGTAAGAAAAACATAATGACTTTTAAAACGTTCAATTTTCATTAAATGTCATTTTTCTGAACACTTACTGGGGTTATGCTTAATATGAAGACTTACATGGTCCCACAAGGCATTTTTAATAAGTCTTTTAAATATAGCACCAGAAAAAGTAACTAATATAGCAATATACACTGTCCTAGCACAGTAGAGCCGGCACTGTGGTTATTATTTGATTTCTAACAAATTAAGTCAAATTATTTATTTAAAATCCAAATAAAGGGGCGCCTGGGTGGCTCAGTCATTAAGCATCTGCCTTCGGGCTCAGGTCATGGTCCCAGGGTCCTGGGATCGAGCCCCGCATCGGGCTCCCTGCTCGGTGGGAAGCCTGCTTCTCCCTCTCCCACTCCCCCTGCTTGTGTTTCCTCTCTCACTGTGTCTCTCTCTGTCAAATAAATAAATAAAATCTTAAAAAAAAAATAATAAATAAAATCCAAATAAAAATTGGTCATCAAAGTCAAAACACTGGTTATGCATGTAGAAAGAGAATAAATTTGTAACCTATAGCTATCTGAGCTCAGATAATTATTATGGCTCCAGATTTAAAACTGTAGTCAATAAACTAGCAATGGGAAGAAGAAATGACTGCCCAACCAGTAAGCCACCACGGATATTCTTTTAAGAAGAAAGGATTTAGGGGCGCCTGGGTGGCTCAGTCGATTAAGTGTCCAACTTCAGTTTAGGTCATGATCTCAAGGTCCTGGGATCGAGCCCACATTGGACTCCGTGCTCCGTGGGAGTCTGCTTGTCCTTCTCCCCCCTTTCCTTCTGTCCCTCCCCCTGCTCATGCTCTCTCTCAAAAATAAAAAATATCTTTTCAAAAATAAAATTTTTTTTAAGGATTTCACTTTTTATATCCAATGCTCTGTGATGAGGGGCTGGGGAAAGCTCTAGGAGAAAAGAGAGATATAAGAAATTTAAGACTTGGGGCGCCTGGGTGGCTCAGTTGTTAAGCGTCTGCCTTCGGCTCAGGTCATGATCCCAGGGTCCTGGGATCTAGCCCTGCATCGGGCTCCCTGCTCCGCGGGAAGCCTGCTTCTTCCTCTCCTACTCCGCCTGCTTGTGTTCCCTCTCTCACTGTGTCTCTCTGTCAAATAAATAAATAAAATCTTAATAAATAAATAAATAAATAAAATCTTTAAAAAAAAATTTAAGACTTAGTTGCCCTTAGCTAAGGAAATCAACAAAAACATTTTTAAAAGGTATATGAGTCAAAGGACAAGTTGTGTATTTCTAGGTAATTGCAGAGCTCATCAAAAGGAGGGTTGGAATTCCAGAATATTGTTACATTTCCACCTGCCAGGTTATCACAATGATTTAATTTGGAAAGATGAAATATTATGGATTTATATGTATATGTTCTGGAAATAAAATGGATTTTGGAAGTTGATCTCTTATAACAACATTATCCAAGACTTTCAAAGCAGCAAGACAGAACTTTTAATGATGTTTACATCAGCAATTCTATTAGAGCCTACTGAAGGGCTTAAAGAAAACCATTGTCTAATATCACAACTATACAAGTATATCTACTGAAAAATCGTAAGTATTTCCCAGGCTTTGGAGTAAGCCTCTCCCAAAACCTCAGAATAAATTCAGAAATGATAACAGTTGAAGAATGTTTTGTGTGCTGAGATGTAGTGGTAACTATTTTCCATTGCTACTGACCAATATGGAAAGCTAAAGAAATAAAAATATCACTGCAAAGGCTATATCAATCAAAAAAGGTTGATAAAATAAAAAAGTACAAAATATTCACAACAAAACTATATATATAATATATTCTTATTTTATACATATAACTCAAAGGGAATGAGGGTTTATAACCTAATCTTACAAATGGTTTTATATAATACAAAACATCTTACTGCTTATTTATATATTAATGTAAAAATGGCCCAATATACAAAATAATTTTAATGGAACCTTTCTATCACAGCCTTCATTCATATCCTAGCAACCAACTTGGTTCCAGAAAGGTGACATAAATGCATTTGTGATTCATTCTTTACCCAAGTATCATGTTTTAAATGGTGATAAATCAAAGAACACTAACAAACATGAATGAAAAGGACAATTTGTTTTTCCCAGAAGATAATAAAACCATTTGAGAAATAACACGTCTCAAGAAGCTAGCCTATTTTGAACTGCCTGATCCAGCTGGTGAGAATGAAAGACGGAACTGTGTGTGCACAGCTGGCCCAGCCTCATTCTGAGTCTTATAAGGCTGCACATCCCCAGGACATTCATGATTTCTGTTCATCTGTACGGTAAGGCCTTTAATTCGTTAGGGCAGTATTAGGAAGAGAAGATGGCCACAAACACAAGCCACATCATTCAATTTAAGTTAATCAGAAAAAAAAAGAGAATGTGGTCTGACTCTCTCTGTTGGTTCTGAATTGAAAAGAAGACAAGGGTAACACTGGCATAGACTGCCTGGCACCCCAGTGAGGCTGCAGAAACCATGGTTTTCTGGAACTATTCTTCTTCCTTCTAGTCTCTACAACAATCTCTGACCGCAGGAACATGACTCTGGAAACATCATTTTGCTTAAGATAACTGCTCTGGGGACAGGAAATGAGATTGCCATGGCTGACATCTAGTAGACTGAAAAACCAAGAATATTTGGTAATCTTCATTTCTTTGGGGTTCAAATTGAGAATTCCATTTATTTAGATCATAACTAATGAAATAAGGAACAAGGATCTTTACTATCTCCCTAAGAATCTGATAGAGATGGCTTATACAAATATGGAATTTCTTTAATGTCAGTGACAGTTTATTTGGAGTATCCATATTCTACCACTTAGGCTCAACATATAATCTCTAGTGAGCTCTATAGTGCAATATAACTGGGTATAATTTATGATGGTAAAGAGAACAGGAAGTGTTTATTTTCAGCTTAGGGTACAAAGGGGCCTTGGAGATAAAAAATCTGATGTATTATTCTTACATATTTCAGACCATCCAGGGGGCAAAGAGTAAATCAGCCCCCAGTATCACAGAAGAACACACAGTGGAGAAGTGGCTGGTATTAGCAGTGGTTTTTGAAGGACTCACTTTAGGCTATCTCTACCTACCACCACCTTCCCCCGCCTCCCCCTCAGAATGGCCACATCCCTGGGTGACCATAAATTGAAAGATAAAGCCCAAAAGGAAGAGAGGAAAGTATAGGGAGGGAGGTCAGTCCCTCTGTTAGGTTCTTCTCTTTGACCAGGTCATTAAAGGTTGCAATTAATCACTGATGCTCATATCACGTCCCATTTTATCCTCCCCTTAATTTCATTCTCTCTCAGAGCTAAAATTACTACTGACACACAAAAAACTTAAAAAATATCCTATTATATGCTGTATCTACTATATAGATTTAGTATATATATATTTATATATATATATATATAGATATAGATTTAGGACTCTATATATATATATATAGTATTTAGGATATATATATATATATATGGAGGAACACCATTCCCATGGCTTCATGTTTTAAAATGGAAATTTGCACTTCTATTAAACTCTCCTTCACTAGGACGTATCTGATTACTGAGATCAGGAAAGAGTAAGGTGCATGTTTGGCATAAATAACCCCTTCCAGGCTCGCTCGCTCTCTCTTGGATTTGCCTACCAACCCATAGAAGGGGCTTTCTAGTCTGCTTTCATTCACATTGTAAATAGTCTGTCCTCAATAGGAAGACCTGTGGTTGTTCGAAAATAATAACTGGGTGACTTCAAAACTACTTTGGGGTGAATTATGATGCTGCTGCACATCTAAGCCTCACTAATAATGATATTTTTACCATCATCTGATTTCTATATTTACTCCTTACTTTGTTACCTTTTCTGTATTTGTAAAGAGGTTTCATTTACAACCCTCATTAAAACATCACCAACACACATTCAAGGTACACATACTCTTATAAGCACTTAAGTGATTGTTGAGTCTATCCTTGAACCCGCCCAAGATAGAAAATTCTCTAACCCCTGAGCTACAACCCTTTTCTTCTAATTGCTCTTTGGAGCCATACAAAACAAATCTATGATATATTTCTTATAACAACTCTTTCAAAATTATTCGTAGAACTGGTTAAGTACTATGCCATTTATTCATTCAACTGAAATTTATTGTACAAATACAGTGCCAGGCATTGTGGCTAGGAACTTAAGTGAAAATGTAAACAAAATAGATGCAATCTCTGCTTTTGTATGCATATATTCTAGAGTAGAATATTAAAAAAGTAAAGAGATAACATTATTCTATTAAGAGTTGTGAAGGAAGCAAACAAGGGAATGAGACAATGAAAAAGAATGGGGGTGGGAACCTACATTACTTGGGAGAGGGGGCATCCAGAAAAGCCGCTCTGAGGAAGGGACATTAAACTGAGACGTTAGGATCAGAAAGGGAGAAGAATATTCCAGGCAAAAGAAATGGCATACATATAAGACTCTAACTCAAGAGTCTGGGGCATTTCAGGAACTGAAAGAAAACTATACAGCTAGAATATAAAAGAGAATGGCATGAGGCGAGGCTTAAGAGATAAACAGTTAATAAGGCAATGCAGGACTTCAATGACCATAGTAAGTTTGGATTTTATTTAATGTTGCACCAAAACTCCTCTTCAAGTTAAATCCCTATACCCTTCTAATGCTTTTCATGATACCACTCTGATCCCTCTCATTACACTGGTCATCTTTTCTATGTAGTATAGTCTAGCACATTTAAAATGCAATGTTTAACACCAACCCTAGTTCTCCAAAGTAAAGACCAGTAAAGGGTAGAGAGGAACTACCACTTCATCCTAAATACTATGCTTTAATCAGTGGTCTCAAATTGAATGAACTCTTTTCTGACAGTTACATCACAACACTGACAGATACAGAACTTGCTATGATACTAAAACCCCCAAGTCTTTAACACCTGCTATTCAACAGCCAAAACTTTTGCTCTAATCATGCCCCTCCTGAAATCTTCTTAAACCCCCTACCACCACCCCCGGGAGGTAACCTATTCAAAGCTTCCCACTTCAAGATCCAAGACGCACATACTGCCAACGAGGCCTGACTTTCTTATGGATATTGATACTGATTTATGCCTAGTGCCAGCCAGAGATGGTCAACATGGTAGGAAGGAGAATTTTGTATCAGAGAACACAGCCAAAATTTTCCAACTTTTGGATCACTACTAGATTTATATAATCTAAATTCAGATATTATGTTACTCTATTATAAAGTGACATTATTAACAAGGTTAACACTCATCCCTACAGTTCCCCAAGCTAAAAATCTCAACTTCTCCCTTCTTCTCACCTCCACATACCCACTCAATCACAAAATCAAACCCTAAATATTTTTCTCCAATACTCTCTCTTTCCTGTCACTCTCCTAATTCATGCCACTATAATCCAATCTACATGACTGGAACAAACAGCTAAAATGATTTACAAGATCCTCATGCTCTGGCATTTACTCGGCTCTCTGGCCTCATCTTTAAATTTGGTACCCTCTGTCCCCCAGTATGCAGACCTGTGACATTCAACTACTCTGTTCTGTGATTACATCATGTTTTATATTCTTCCCTCTATCTAAAACATCTCTCCCTCAAATGTTCTTCTCTTTCATGCTAATGTTCACTCATTTGTCAAGTTTAACACACATACTACTTCCTCCAGAAAGTCTTCCCTGAACCCTAAACAACCCCTAGTCTGAATGAGGGACCCTTCTTCCCTTCCTGGGATCTCTCAAAGCACCTTGTACTTCATTTTAGTTCTTGAGTTTTATTGCCATTTACTGGTTGGCACCCTTCACAAGAACTCTCAGATACCCAGGAATAGCCTGTTGTGTTCACTACTTAACTATCAAGCAACTAGCACAATGCTCAGAACTCTGATACCCAAAATATATTTGTAGGGAGTGAAAGCAAGGAAGAGTATGTGTGTTCAAATGCACATAGGTGAATAAATGTAAGACACCAGATTTTTGGAACATGAGAAAGCCCTGTCTTCCACACCTATAATAATTTTATAAAGGCCTTAGATTTGCTGGATTTAAATATGCAACAGTACAAATAAAATTCTATCTTTAACAGACAATATGTAATAAAAGGTCAATTACATAAATATATAATCCATAAGTTATTGATGTATCATCATTCATTTAAATGTGTATAAAAAATATTGGACCACTCTTTTCTTTAGAACAGTAATAAGGTGGTAAGTTGCAGATCCAAAGTACTAAAATGGCAAAATTTTATTCAATCATACATCCAAAGCAATCAATATCCTAGAAAGAACAAAGTTGCTTGCGCCCTCATCTGCACACAGGTCACTGATGGCCCAATGACAAGTAAAAATTGTTTGCCTTGGGACCAATATAATAATCCAGTTTCAATAAGTAGAAAATAATTTGATACTTACTCACACAATACCACATATTTTTCAAGAGAGTCAATCAGTAGTTTGCTATCTCCTTGATGAAAGTGCAGAGCAGGGAGAACGACGTCATCCTTTAGACAGAATACCAAATACGACCAGCCCATACCCTCTTTGTTTTGCTTGATTGATTTCAGGTCTGTCAAACTGAACAGGAATGACCATTTGCTTTTCCCATTTCTATGACTTGGAGCATCTTAAAAACAAGAAAGTGGGGCAAAATATTTTTGTTCACCTTTTTAAAAGGTACTGATAGCGCTCTTCATGACTGCCTAATACTTGTTGAACCTAGGGAATGACTATAGCATTCATATTACTATGGTTTCTACCTATATTAGAAATGGCAACATGCATTTTCTTAAAAGAACAGTTTTGAAAATAATCATCTTACTGCATACAGAGTGAAAAAATATTATCCCAATTTCAAATAAAAGCTTGCCCAAAAATGACTATGGCTTTGGAAGCAGGCAGGCTGGATTCAAATTACAGCATCACCATCTTACTAACTGAATGATCTAGGGCAAATAACTGAATCTCTCTGAGCCTTGGTTTCTTCATCTGTAAAAATGGAGATAATTATACTTACCTCCCAATGTTATTCTAAGAATTAAGAGATAACACTTGTCACCTAACTAGTATAGTGTCAATTATATAGCAAATACTCAAAAAATGTTAATCTTTTCCACTGCCCACTCCCCACCCCCGCCAAATACAAATGACATGATGCTCTTGGAGAGTCATTAAAAATAAAACAAAAAACCTTTACTTCCTCACTTCCTTTTGCAATTATTTTTACTAGACTATACTGAGTGAAGGTAAATAACACTGGTATAAAAAATTAACACCGGAGTAAATATACCAACAGACATTTTATTTACAAAAACCCAGAGAGCAGTGAGGAGTTACGGATGAAAATATAACAAAGTTGTGAGTGCTTCAAAGAGAATGAATACAGTGCCTGCTTCAGCAGCACATACACAAAATTGGAATGATACAGAGATTAGCCTGGCTCCTGCGCAAGGGTGACAGGCGCATTCGTCAAGAGGTCTGTGTTTTTTTAAAGACAGAATGAATATATTCAATCTTCCTACTAAATCCATCTACTAAAGTAAGAACTCAGTTCAACCCAAACTACAGTAACATAAAATAAAGTATTTTCTGAGGTTGTGGGCTATTTATGGAAGCTTAAAAATCCTAGGCTTGTGAACAATATCATACCTGATAACAAGCAGCTTAAAAAATATATAAAAAAAAATGTAAAGAACAAAGGGAAAAATGTTACTTTCCCACTACTACTTATAATTTCTATCCATTTAAAATGCCATTTTGACCTGTTTTAACTTGGACATAAGCATGTCATGTCTCTGAAATTTTAAAAATCCATTTCTCTAATGTTATTTCCTAAGAAGTATTGCACTATCCTATTATTCAAGATCTCACTTCCATTCCACGCTATCAACTCCACAAACATAAATGCATAGAAGATATGTGCTTATAGAACTTGATCAAGAGGAGATCAGTGTTGACCTGCATATATGTCATCTTCCTATATAGTCAGGAAACCATAGCTCCATCAGCTCCAACAAGATCTCCTAAATTGACACAAAGAAATCTACAGCTTCCAGAACCTCTACCTACAAGGAATACAGGCACCATCACTATTTCATGGACACTTAAGTATCATTTGAAAGAAGTCCAGAAAGGCTAAAAAGTAATTTATCTCTACAGTGACCTGCCTAGGTTCCACACCAGTTCAGATGGTGAACTCATACCTAAGGCTGATCCTAGATTAAGCGCCATGTGCCAACTTGACTACCATACATCAAATTTCACTAGAATTTGTATCATAGAGCTCATAACACCACTACAAGCTAATATCAAAATGAAAACAATTCTAGAATTTCAATGTCTTCCTGAATCATTTACATATTAATGTATTTAGGACTACTAGATTATTTGCAAAGACCAAAAATATTTTCAAAGCAACGAAAAACTAGATATAGACAATTTTTAAAATTAAATTCTTAAATTACATAGAAAGACAATCTAAATTAATGCATGAAAATCATATGGAGAATATAAATACATGCAAGCTATATGAATTTTCAGGAGTTTGTACATATTCAAAAGTAAAATTTTTACACAGATTTTCCCATGTTAATGGAAGAAACACATCACATATGGAATAGAAAATGCCTTACACATTTCCTCACTTGAAGCTTTGATAAACAATGAAAGAAACATTACAAGTCAATTCTGGAAGCCCCTTTACTTTTGAATATAGTAAGCTTCATGAGAACAAGAACTTTATTTTGTTCATAATTATATCCCCAATTCCTAGAAGAGTAAATAACACATAGTAGGTACTCAAAGTTGCATTGAATAAATGAATAACCTAATACCAAGTCAGCATAAAAGAAACCTGCAATTTAGTCTACCACCGATAGCTAACCAGAAATAGAAAGGGTTACACGAAGGAAACCTAATGAATCCAAGAGTTAACTCAGAATTTCCTTTTCTCTCTTAAAGAAAGGTAAATAAAACTAACTAGTTCTGGGACGCCTGGGTGGCTCAGTCGGTTGAGCATGTGCCTTTGGCTCAGGTCATAATCCCAGGGTCCTGGGATCAAGCCCCACATCAGGCTCCCTACTTAGCGGGAAGTCTGCTTCTCCCTCTCATTCTCCCTCTGTGCCCAAACGCTCTCTTGCTCTCTCTCTCTCTCTCAAATAAATAAAAATCTTAAAAACAAAAAAAAACACATTAGTTTTGATGAATGATGTTACCAAATACACGTAAGAAGTATCCCCAACACAATGACATGGGAAAACTAACCGTAATAGCGTAAGAGTAAAACTAAAACAGTTCAGTAAGTCCCTGTATGTCTTGAATAGAATTAACACCGAGGACATGACATTTTATTTGGATGGGTGTACAGAACATGATGGGAGTCTATTCTGGTAAGAAACATTTTCAAAACATTTGATCTGCTATATAAAAACAAAGACTTCATAATAGAAACTCTTAAAAAGTATAAAGAAAGTTAAGTCTTTGATAGTCAATTTTTTAAGTTTTGTCCCAATTTCCTTTGTCACACAAAAAAGTAAAAAGTAGGGGCGCCTGGGTGGCTCAGTCATTAAGCGTCTGCCTTCGGCTCAGGTCATGATCCCAAGGGTCCTGGGATTGAGCCCCACATCGGGCTCCCTGCTCAGTGGAAAGCCTGCTTCTACCTCTCCCACTCCCCCCCCGGCTTGTGTTCCCTCTCTCACTCTCTCTCTGTCAAAAAAAAAAAAAAAAGTAAAAGGTATAAAATGTGAAAACTATAAAATGAATAAAATTAGAAAAAAATACTTTTTAAACATATAAAAATGTTTCATAATGGCATAAATTTGAGTTTTGAAACACCAAGCTTAGAAAGTGTCCCCCTTGGATAAAGAAGATGTGGTATATATACACAATGGAATATTATGCAGCCATAAAAAGGAATGAGATCTTGCCATTTGCAATGACATGGATGGAACTGGAGGGTGTTATGCTGAGTGAAATAAGTCAATCAGAGAAAGACATGTATCATATGACCTCACTGATATGAGGAATTCTTAATCTCAGGAAACAAACTGAGGGTTGCTGGAGTGGTGGGGGTGGGAGGGATGGGGTGGCTGGGTGGGTATGGTATGTGCTATGGTGAGCGCTGTGAATTGTGCAAGACTGTTGAATCACAGATTTGTACTTCTGAAACAACTAATGCAACATATGTTAAGAAAAAAGAAAAAGAAGAAGATAGCAGGAGGGGAAGAATGAAGGGGAGTAAGTCAGAGGGGGAGACGAACCATGAGAGACGATGGACTCTGAAAAACAAACTGAGGGTTCTGGAGGGGAGGGGGGTGGGGGGATGGGTTAGCCTGGTGATGGGTATTAAAGAGGGCACATTCTGCGTGGAGCACTGGGTGTTATGCACAAACAATGAATCATGGAACACTACATCAAAACTAATGATGTAATGTATGGTGATTAACATAACAAAAAAATTTAAAAAAGTGTCCCCTTTAGGAAGAATTTTTGATGAAATATAATTGGATGAGACAGTCCGGGAGAAGAAGGGATGGGATGAGGTGGAATGGAATGCACTACACTTCATAACTCCTATTCTGTCAAATATGTGCATGTGTATGCATACTAGGCCATACTATGTTCAATATTGTTTTCTACTGCTATACACATTCATAAATTTTTTAAATACAGAGAAAAAAAGAAAATGTCTTTTTTTTTTAAAGATTTTATTTATTTATTTGACAGAGAGAGAGAGACAGCAAGAGAGGGAACACGAGCAGGGGGAGTGGGAGAGGGAGAAGCAGGCTTCCCTCTGAGCAGGAAGCCCGATGTGGGGCTCGATCCCAGGACCCTGAGGATCATGACCTGAGCCGAAGGCAGACGCTTAACGACTGAGCCACCCAGGCACCCCAAGAAAATGTCTCCTTAACTTTCAATAATTGCTAAATAAAGACTCTATAAGTCACAGCGCATGGCCAAGTCATATAAGCAGTATTTACATCTGTGGTTTTTTGCTAAACTACACAGCTACACACAGGTTCTCAGTTCTGTACATTAAAATCAACAGGACAGCATTTAAAAAACACAAATACCCAGTTTCCATCCCCAGAGTGTGATTTAATTCACTGGGATGAAACACAGGCATTAGTGTTTTTTAAAAAGCCTAACCTACCCAGGTTATTTCAATGTGCAGCCAAAGTTGAAAACCACTAATCTAAAAAGACGTTTATTGTCAGATTATGCTCTTCTCATACACGTAATGCTTCTTTCTTTTATGAAATTCTGAAAATTCATTCCTTTGTTCTTTCCTATAGCCTGTCATTTTCATTTTCAAGGATTCAGTGATATTAGGCAACAACAAACAAAAAACATATTCCAGCCAATTGTGGCCAGCTTTTCTGAATCTGGGAAATGAGGATAAATCATAAACTCAGACTAAAATGAGTAAGACATTAAATGTCTTTTTAGTTACAAAACACAAATTAATCAATAAGGAAAAAAATTTTAACTCTGTACAAGTATTCATTATTTTTAAAAGAATCACAAATAGCACATCATTAGATGGGCTACCTAAATCATATTTGGTGTAGTATATGTGTTCTTTCAGGCTGTTAGCTTGGCTCTTTTTTGTTATCTACATGTAGATAATCATCACACAGAAACACAGATTTAAATATATACATGTAGTATATAAAGGAGAACAGTCACTGAACATATATTGTAATGAGCTGTGAAGATCTCAGTAAGCACTGAAATTAGAACAGTATGGTTTAGTGGTATACTCCATCTCCCCCTGGTGCTTTAGGACGAAACAACATTTTTTTTTTTAAATGCTAGAAAAATGTGCATGAGAGACATGTAAAGCAATTTTTTAAAGTGTTTCTATTTTCTGCCATGAATAACTACAAAACAGAACACGTATTTTTAAAACCTTTTTTTTTTAAATAAAGTCACAACCAACAAAACAAAAAGAGAGATGAAGAGGGAATATAACTAAAATATGAGTTCTATGTATTAAAGCACCAAATCATCCTTGTGACAGAGAAACACTAAAGAATTTTACTTGCACTTTTATTTTTATTATATTGTAGCATATCAGTTTAAGATTTCAAAAGATTTAATTCATACCTCCATTGGTATGTGGCTTCTTTTTAGACGGAACTGTATTGACCATGTCCCACTCTGCTTCGTAATTGTTCAGATGTTCCGATCCCCGATGACCTCTTTCCTTTGGGGCCTGCGTCCACTCTACAACTGAACTGGAGTCCTAAAAAAAGTGTAATATATGAAATATTTAGGGACTAAAACTAGAATTTAATTTCAATTAACAATATATTCTCAACTTCTACCTAAATTAAGTTTGGAGATTGTGACAGACATCACTGGTGGGAAAACCAACCACTATTTCCTATCCTTTTCTTTCTTGTTTATCTTTACCTGCCACCCACCCCATCCCTGCCCCCACTTCTCCACCTACCCCCCCATGCTCCCCTCCACAAAAAAAAAGAAAAAAAGAAAAGCCTGCCCAGATTCCCTTGCAGTTAGGGTTGCCAATGAAATAAAAGCAGAGGTCAACTGCAGGGCTTTTGGAAATGCTTTTGCTTTCCTAATAAAAAAGCCTCATCCCTTTCCCCTTTCTCCTGCTTTGAATGTAGCTATGATGCCTAAAAATACGGCAGCCATGTTATGACTGTAAGAGAAAAAACAGGAGAATCACTCCAAACCTGTAGATTTGTAGTTATTTGAGGAAAATAACCAATGGTGGCTATTTTATTTAAGCCACCACTGGTTGCATATTTCTCAGTCAAAATTAGCTAAGAGCTACAAATAACATATCTACATGTATAATTCTAAAGAACTTAATATTTTAAAAGAGAATAAAACCAAGTGTCTAAAATTCAATATTAATAATTTAAATCAAAATATTAAATTCCTATACTATAAAAAGTAGCACACCTAAGTTAAAGATAAGACTGGGTGAAAGTGTTTTCAAAATATATGGCAAACAAAAGAAAAAAATCCAGAATACAAAAACAACACCTACCAAATTATTTAGAAACTGGCAAATATCAAAACAGAAAAACAAGCAAATGGTATGCACAAGCAAGTCAAAGAAGAAATATGAAGCAACAAACATAGGAAGATGTCCAACTTCAGAAACAATCAAAGAAAAGTAAGTTAAGGGGCACCTGGGTGGCTTAGTTGGTTGTGTCTGACTCTTTGTTTCGGCTCAGATCAGGATCTCAGGATCCTGAGATCGAGCCCCACATTGGGCTCACACTCAGCGTGGAGTCTGTCCAAGATTCTCTCTCTCCTTCTCCCTCTCCTTCCTCCTCTGCCACTCCCCTTGCACATGCATGCTCTCTTTCTCTCAAACAAAATCTTCAAAAAAAAAAAAGGAGGCATGCCTGTGTGGCTCAGTTGGTTAAGCATCTGCCTTCGGCTCAGGTGGTGATCCCAGGGTCCTGGGACTGAGCCCTGCAACAGGCTCTCTGCTTGGCAGGGAGTCTGCTTCTCCTTTTTCCTCTGCCCCTTCCCCCCGCTCATTCTCTCTCTCAAATAAATAAAATCTTAAAAAAAAAAAAGAAGAAGAAGAAGAAGAAGAAGAAAACCAAGTTAAGATGAATTTCAATTTTTTGACCCATTCAAGTAAAAAATAAAATACGAAAGACAGTGTAAAGACATAGTATCTCATGCTGCTGATGACAGTGCTAATTACTACTGACTCCAAAAGGTCAATATAGCCATTATTTATTAAAATTCAAACTATGGGGGTGCCTGGGTGGCTCAGTTGGTTAAGTGTCTGCCTTCGGCTCAGGTCATGATCCCAGGGTCCTGGGATCGAGACCTGCATCGGGTTCCCGGCTCAGAAGGAAGCCTGCCTCTCCCTCTGCCTGCCACTCCCCCTGCTTGTGCTATCTCTCTCTCTCTGTCAAATAAATAAATAAAATCTTAAAAAAAAAGATTCAATGTGTGTCATTACAATAATTCTCTTTATATTATCCACTCTAGAGAAATACTCACACATGTACACAAAGAGGCATATGTAACAATTTTCATTGCAACACTGTAAAAATGAAAAACTGAAAATATCTTAATACCCATCAGTGAAGGAATGAATAAACAAACTAGAGGGTAGCCAAGGAAATACTAAGCCATAGTTTAAAAACTGATATATGTTAATATTTATTTACTCTTAAATAATAGTAAATTAAACAAAGAAGCTGCAAAACAATGTTTGCAGTATAACCACAGGCAGCATATGCAATTAGAAACAGAGGAAAAAACTAGGTCTAGATAGATCGATAATAAAATATGTACAGATTAAAGTCTGGAAAGATACACACTAAACAGGGACAGATAAAGGACAAGATTCTAGTCACGCAAGACTTCAATTTCTATTGTTTCTATTATTTGAATATTTTTACAAGAATGTATTCATATATTGCTACTGTAATTCTTTTTAAAAATGGAAAAAGGAAAATTTGTAGGAACAGAAACATATTATAAAGGCACAAGAAAAATTAAGAAATAGAAACAGACTGAAAAATAGAGAGGAAAACTGAATGAATGAAATCAATGTGGAGAGCTAAGCAGCATCTACAGAGCCCCACCAGCACAAAGGCTTGGAATCGGTTGATCAAATACTTCTGGAAATTAGAATAGAAGTCAAGCTAAAAAGAAGAGTACTAACAAAAGTCCAGAAGGCTGGAGGGTTATTCATTAGAAAAAATAAAACAGATTATTTCTTGATTAGGAGAAACCAAGCACAGTGAGCAAAGGGATAACACACTGAAAACAAGAATTAATTAAAAGTTCATCTACAGGGGCACCTGGGTGGCTCAGTCAGTTAAGCATCTGCCTTTGGCTCGGGTCATGATCTCAGGGTCCTGGGACTAAGTCCCACATTGGGCTCCTTGCTCAGCGGGGAGCCTGCTTCTCCCTCTGCCTGCAGCTCCCCCTGCTTGTGCTCTCTCTCTCTGACAAATAAATACATAAAATCTTTTAAAAATAAATAGATGATAGAAAGATAGACATAGATATTTTGAGAAGAAATGTAGAGAACTGAGCCTGAGTTTCAGGGTGAATTAGAGATCAAACAGAAATCTCTACCTTCCATAGTGAGTCAACACACAATACAAATGGCAAATACATAGTTATCATCCCAATCATCATCAACAATCCCACTCTTGGGTTTTTAAGAGAAAAATATATATCCACACAGAAACTTGTGTATGAATGTTCATGTCAGCATTATTTATATTAACCTAAAAATGAAACAACCCAAATATCCACCAACTGATGAATAAACAAAATGTGGTACAGTAGTTCCCCCACCCGACCCCATATCCATGGTTTTTCTCTTCCACAGTGTGTTACCCAAAGTCTGTTACCCGCAATGGTCCATCCAGAAGCAGATGATCCACCTTCTGACAGTACTTACATACAGTTAGTAGCCTAACATTACTTCACAATGCCTACGTCATTCAACTGCCTAATTTATAAATTAAACTTTATCATAAGTACGTATAGGAAAAAACATAGTATGTATAGGGTTCAATAGTATCTGTGGTTTCAGGCATCCACTGGGGGTCGGTCTTAGAATGCATCCCCCATGCATAAGGGGAGACTACTGTATTTCCATAAATGCAATGTTGTTCAGCACGCAGGCAAGAAGAAAGGCAAGAAAGAAAGCAAGAGGGAGAGAGAAAGAGAAAGAAAGAAAAGAAAGAAAAAGAAAGAAAAGAAAAAGGAGAAAGAAAGAAAAAGAACAAACGAACTGAGAGGTGTTATAACATGGATAAACCCTGGAAACAACAGGCTAAGAGAAAGAAGCCAGTCATGAAAGATCACATATTGTATGATTCCATTTAGATGAAATGTCCGTCCACAAGGCAAATTCTCAGAGATAAAAAGTAAATTAGTGGTTGCAAGAGGCTGAAGTTAAGTGGGAATGAGGGGTGTACTACGAAAAGGCAGTTTCTTTTTTAGGAGTAATGAAAATGTTCTAAAATTAGATATTGGTGATGGTTACACAACTCAATATACTAACACCACTGAATTTATACACTTTAAAGGAGTAAATTTTATGGCATATGAATTATAGCTCAAAGAAGTTGTTTTAAAAATGGCATTCCTTACACTGGAATGAATAAATGAATACGAGAATGATGAATGAACAACAAAAACAAAAAAATAAAAATGGCATTCCTTTAGCCACACCCTTTCTTTCTTAAGTACCTTTCCAGCATAGAGAATACTAGAAGAATCTAAAGCATCATCCAATGGTCTCCAGTCCACTATTACTTCAGCATCCTAGAGAAAGAAATTATGGACTATATTTACTAGTCAGCAATATCTTACATTCTTAGTTACCTATTTTTAATTCCCTGAATGCAAAATGAAATTTTTAAACCCTTAAATATTAGCATTTTAAATATGCAGTATCACAAGTAAACCATTTGACAATAAATGTTACGTACATTTTTAAATTCTGCTTATTTTTCATGACAAAAAATTTGTAATACTGAAACTTTTACATAAGTTTTTAATATTCCATACCATTTTTTGGGCTTATCTAAAGTATTTTTTTCCTGGGGTGCCTGGCTGGCCCAGTCACTGGAGTATGGGACTCTTGGTATCAGGCTTGTGAGTTTGAGACCCATACTGAGTGTAGAGATTACATATTTTTCAACATCATTTTCATGTTAAATTTATAACCACTGTTCAATTACATAATTTCACCTTACACATGAAATTCAAACTTACTGATAATGCCCCAAAGATAAACCACTGCCATAAACAATTATTAAATAAAATCACTTACTAAAAACATACCTTTTCTAACACACGTAATATTCCTGAAATCAAGCTGTCTTGGTCACTGGTCTTTCCACAAGATGAGTGAATATAGACCCCTTCCTGTTCATATATAATCTGGAACAACAAAAAAAGAATCACACCATTATTATTCAGTTAGATTTCGACATTTGTTAAAAAAATTATGTATTTTCATATAATGCCTGAACCACATTTCTGATTATTTCATATATAAACGTATTATTTTAAAAATACCACTCAGGCTTAAGAGCACTTCAAATTAAGATAAACTGGAAGGTAGTTTGCTGTATGGAAGTTTGCTGGTTTAGTGATAATCACAATCTTGATCTTCTCCATAAACAAAGACGTCACACTAATTGCTAATGTGTCTCAAGTGAATTCCACTTAAAACACATTTTTAACAAACGTTAAGCAAAATATTGGATTCAAACTGAAAAAGGCCATGAAAACATTCAAGAATAAGAATAGATGAAATACAATAAGGAATCAATGCTAACCATTCCTAGAACACCACATGTTTTACTGTAAGATCATTTCAGTGTGTTTTTGTAGCACAGCGGCACAGAAATTCAGGGAATAATATGGGAATTTTAAGGAGTAATGATAAGGACTTCTAGGAACGATTAAAGTAGTTCATGCACACAAATATTTACTGAGTGCTTCTATATGTAAAAGCATGCAAAAGACTATAGTTAAATAGATATGATTAAGACATGGTCCTGAACAATATCCTGTGGGAATATAAGGGAGACTGAAGCTAATTCCTGAGTAAACTGAACCATGTAAAAGTTAAGTCTTATCTTCTATTAGCATAATGTTATAAATTTAAGATTCCATTCCTGGGGCCCATTTCAAACAATTAAAAATTTTTTTTCATTATGAAAATAAGAGAAATAAAATAATCACTTTGAGACCTAAGTACTTTTCACATACAGAAGTTTGGAATAGAGTGTAAGTTTCTATTTATGTAGACCTCTTTTTTTTTTAACTCCAGGATAATTAACATAGTTAATTCAACAATTAACATAGTGATTCAACAATTCTATACATTACTCAGTGCTCATCATAAGTGTACTTTTTTCTTTTTTAATTTAAATTCAATTAATTAACATATGATCTATTATTTGTTTCAGGGGTACAGGTCTGTGATTCATCAGTCTTATATAATACCCAGTGCTCATTACAACACATACCCTCTTTTAACCGTCTTCCCGTTTCACCCATCCCCCACCCACCGGTTCTCTGGTACCCACCAGTATGTTCTCTATATTTAAGAGCCTTGTTTTTTGTCTGTCTCTTTTTCTTTGTTCATTTGTTTTGTTTCTTAAATTCCACATATAAGTGAAATCATATGGTGTCTTTCTCTGACTGGCTTATTTCACTTAGCATTACACCCTCTAGATCCATCCATGTTGTTGCAAATGCCAAAACTTCATCTTTTTATAGCTCAGTAATATTGCATTGTGTGTGTGGGAGGGTGTATATCACATTTTTTTTTAAGATTTATTTATTTATTTATTTGACAGAGAGAGAGAGAGCGAGAGCATAAGCAGGGGGAGCAGCAGACGGAGAGGGAGAAGTAGGCTCTCTGCTGAGCAGGGAGCCCAATGTGTGGCTCAATCCCAGGACCCTGGGATCATGATCTGAGCCGAAGGCAGACACTTAACCGCTGAGCCACCCAGGTGCCCTCACATCTTCTTTATCCATTCATCTATCAATGGATACTTGGGATGCTTCCATATTTTAGCTATTGTAAATAATGCTGCTATAAACATGGGGATGCATGTATCCCTTTGAATTAGTGTTTTCATATTCTTTGGGTAAATACCCAGTAGTGGAATTACTGGATCTTATAGTAATTCTATTAATGTTTTGAGGAATCTCCATACTGTTTTCTACAGTGGCTGCACTAGTTTGCATTCCCACCAACAGTGCACAAGGGATCCTTTTTCTCCATATCCTCGCCAACACTTGTTGTTTCTTGTGTTGTTGATTTTAGCCATTCTGACAGGCGTGAGATGGTATCTCACTGTGATTTTGATTTGCATTTCCCTGATACATGATGATGAGCATCTTTTCATGTGTCTCCTGGCCATCTGTATGTCTTCTGGAGAAATGTCTATTTGTGTCTTCTGCCCATTTAATTGGATTATTTGGTTTCTTTGGTGTTGAGCTGTGTAAGTTCTTTATGTATTTTGGATACTAAGCCTTTATCAGATATGTCATTTGCAAATATCTTCTCCCATTCCATAGGCTGCCTTTAAGTTTTACTGATTGCTTCCTTTGCTGTGCAGAGCTTTTTATCTTGAGGTAGTCCCAATAGTTTATTTTTGCTTTTGTTTTCCTTGCCTGAGGAGACATGTCTAGAAAAATGTTTTTACAAATGATGTCTAAGAAATTACTACTATGTTTTCTTCTAGGATTTATATGGTTTTAGGTCTCATATTTAGATCTTTAATCCATTTTGGTTTTATTTTTGTGTAGATTTTAAGAAAATGTGTCCAGTTTCATTCTTTACATGTCGCTGTTCAGTTTTCCCAACACCACTTGTTGAAGACACTGCCTTTTTCCCAATGCATATTCTTGCCTCCTCCGGTGAAGCTTAATTGACATGGGTTTATTTCTGGGCTTTCTGTTCTGTTCCACCCAACTGTGTGTCTATTTCTGTGCTAGTACCATACTGTTTTGATTACAACAGCTTTGCAGTATATCTTGAAGTCTGAGACTGTGCTATCTCCAATTTTGTTCTTTTTCAAGACTGCTTTGGCTATTCGGGGTCTTTTGCGGTTCCATACAAATTTTAGGATTATTTACCTTAGTTTTATGAAAAATGCTGTTGGTATTTTGATAGGGATTGCATTAAATCCATAGACTGCTTTGAGTAGTACGGACATTTTATATTTACCATCCCACTATTCAGAATATCATGGGGACCAACATGCAAGAGAAGCACCTTCACAACCCATCACCATCACACCCTAGTTATGAATGTAAATGGGTAGGCATCTTCCTGTTTTTAACTAACATTTATGGAATACTTATGCACCAGGAACTCCACATGTTATAGCTTAATCCCCCTAACCCTAGACCACAGGCTCTATAACTGTATCCTACTACATCATTAGAATGGAAAGCCCATTTGTGTTAATGAGAAACCTGAAAGAGAGATTAAACAACTTGCCTAAGATCGTTGACGCAAATAGTAAAGGATGGTTAAGAAGCAGTGTGGAGATTAAAATCCAGGGAGTCTGATACCAGAGAACTGTGTTCTTAGCTACTATGTTACAAAGTACATTACTTGTACTGTTATTCCCGTGTTAGTCACTTGTGATAGGAAGTTATATGTCAGGAAAAGAGTCCTTCTAGTAATCAAGATCACCAGAGAAATTCTGATCTCAAAAACCCAAGATGGCCTTCATTGAAATAGTCGTTAAGCACCAGACCAGCATTAAGCAGAAGGCAAAGACTGGGGACAGCATGAGTTGGGGAGCAGTAGAAGACAATTCTATATTGTTTGCATAAAGATAAAAACTTTTAAAGTACAGATTTATTCACACATGTGCATAAAGATATGCTTAAGACTATTCACAGCACTATTATTTATAACATCAGGTGGGGTGAGGGAGGAAGGAAAAAAGGAAAGAGAAGTTATGAATCTAGATATCCACACAGGGGAAATGATCAAATACCTCCTGGGATAGTCATTCTATGGGGAATACTATTCAGGAATTAAGAAAGGATGTGATAGATTAAATGAACAAACAAACATGGAAAAAACTGCCAATTATATATAGTATGATGACATTTATATATTTTTTTAAAAGCTTCTATAAATTGCTGTAAAATACCCAGAACAAGTTCTGGAAGGACACACTTTAAGCTGTTAACAGAGATTACTTGTGAAAGAGAATGGGATATGGAAAGGCTGAAAGAAAACTCTGTCTATGTTGATGCCTCTAACGTACTTGAATATTTCAAAGCTAAAATACAGTTACACATTGCTTAGTAATAAAAAATAATTTTAATAAGTAAAAAAGGAAACTGCAGAAGTATAAACTATAACCTTTCCAGACTTCAATTTATCAATTTTCAAAACAAGAGGTTAAACTAGATAATTATATCTGGGGCCACAATATAAAGTACTGAAAGGTTAAGGGAAAGAAATCCGTTAAAATCTCAAGCTTTAGTGAGAGATACATCAGAGACATGTCTGGAAACTACATGTTAGCATACTTTCACCTAAGTCTCAGCTAAAACAATAATCAAGAGCTTCATAGTTCTCCCGTCACCTGGGTGGCTCAGTTGGTTAAGTCTCCAATTCTTGGTTTCAGCTCAGATCATGATCTCATGCATCAAGGGATCAAGCCCCACATCAGGCTCCCTGCTCAGTAGGGAATCTGCCTGAAATTCTCTCCCTCTACCCCTCCCCCCAATAAAAAAAAAAAAAAGAGCTTCATAGTTCTCATAGTAGAAAAAAGGACACTCATTTGCCCAGAAAAGTTTCGTATCATTAACAATGCAATCTAAAATTCTGTGATACTATTAACACTAAACAGACTCTGGAACATTAATAAAGTAAATGAATCCTAAAGAACCAAATAAAACACTTTACCTAACTGAAGCACATAAGAAGAGTTCCTTAGTCTTTCTTACCCATGCATATATTGGTCAAATGTTGCCTATTCTCTTTTTCATTTAAGAAAAAGTTGGGTTTCCTAAGTAATTTCACTGAGAAAATATTTAAAAAGCATTAAAGTACCAGGCACCTTACAAAAAAATCCAAGCTGCATTCATTCTGGGTTCTGTCCTGAACTCTTTAGCACTTTTTGAGGAACAAATTACACGTCTAAAAATCCACAACTCCAAACCAGACTTGTACTGTCTTTAGAAAGCAGTCATGTTCAGCTTTCTAATTTGAAGGGTGTGATGTTAACCAATACAAATTACTGATCCTGCCAGAAATAGAATGAAATTAATAAACTTACCTTCCCTGAGCTCCTAAACCTTATGAAGTCTTATGAGACTTAAAGGGACTAAACTAGTTGCATCAGTACATAATTTACTTCAAACAGTAAACAACTAAATGATAAGTTTTA